AAGTCCCAGAATTGCTATAAACAGTTCCAGAGGAGAAGCAGCGGACAGTGACTTGTCACTTAGACATAAACAGTAACAGGGTGAAAGGTAGAGACGTTACAGGAACAGCAGAGAAACGGAGTCGGACACGGCTGTGCGGAAGCGGCCGGCCGCAGGTGGCCGTCCTGGCGTGGCCCGCACGGCCACGCGTGCAGATGTGCCAGCTCGCCGGTCACTCAGGCTTCCGTGGCAACAGTGAGGAGCGAGGAAAGGCCAGCAGGGACTGTCCCCCTTAACGACACACCCGCACGTGGTCTGGGAAGAGGCGAGGGTGGGGCCACCGGGCTGGGGTGGGGCGCTCCAGCTGGGGGGGCTGAGAGCCTGGTGCGTGTGGGCACCCCGCTGCTCTTCAGGTGGAGAAAGTGCCGAGTGGAAGAACCTGTTTGGGAGCTAGAGGTGGCAGGTTTCACCAGGAGGCCCGGAGGCTCGGTCAGGCTCACAGCAGGCCAGGAGCAGCGGCCCAGGTGGCGTCTTCCTGGCTCGGGTCTTCGCCCAGAGACGCGCGTCCGCCCGAGCCTGGGTGTGTGTCGGCTTACCAGGGCGGTGCCAGCTGTGGTTGGCCAGAGGGGCTGCGGGCCCGCAACCCCACGGCCCGGCAGCAAGCAGACAGCCCCTGGAGGGGCAGGGGGCCCTGTCCTTGGGGGCCAGGCCCGGCTCGTCCGCCAGACGGGGCCCAGGGCTCACGGCTCACTGAGGCCCGCGCTGGCGGAGGGCGGAGGGCGAGGCGGGGAGGAGGGCTGCCCTCGCAACGCGCCCGGGCAGCCGCCGAGGTGAAGCCGGCTGCGGGCCCGCACGGCCTGCGGCAGATTGCAAGGTTGGCAGCTTTGTAATTGCTTTCGCTGTTTGCAATCAGAACCACAGCCTTAGTGCAAGAGTATATTTATTTTTTACAGTAATTTTGGTTGCCATACAAGAGATTTAAGGATTGGGAGAAAGTGCAAATTACAGGAGCTTTTTTTTTTTGTTTGTTTGTTTTTGTTTTTTAATAAAGTCTAAAAAGAAGAAAAGCACAAAAGTAACAGCAACATAGAGAGTGCGAACATGAATTACACAGACCGTAGCGTGGGACGTGTTAGTATCCGAAAAAAATCGTTGATGAGAAGAACCGGTGTTTGCGGCCCACTCAGCTGCGGCCAGGTCGCCCGGGGTGCCTGCTTGCTCGGGAACTCGGGAGGGTCACCGTTCTACGGACCGAAGTACCACAAATAATCCGCTTTGTGATACGCTCAGCAAACCACCCGTCACGTCGAGTCACCTCACGCTACGTGACGGTAGCGCGCGCGGGCCGGGCGTCTCTCTGGCAGGTGCACGTCATTTACATCTGCGAGGTTTTGGTCTCTGTGTACACGGTGTTGCAGAAACTAGGCATGTGATGCAGTTTATTTAAATTACAGTATATAACAAAAGTGGACCTTAAAACCTGGAGTAGTGGTGACGTGTTCTGTGAGCGGTTGGCGAGGGCTCCCGGGGGGCGGGGCTGGCCCGCGTCTGCGGGCGAGGGGGCGGCTGGGGGGCTATTGCTGTGTGGGCGGAATCATCCCCGGGGGCTCGCCGGCCCGAGGGCTCACCGGGTGGTCAGTGGGGGTCTGCCAGGCCTGACTGGGTGCTATTGAACCCGGGCGGGGGGGGGGGCTCGCGCC